GCACAGCTCCAGTGATCTGTTGAAGATCTGTGTGAAGATGGGGGCCAGCTGGTCAGCACAGGATTTCAGACAGGCTGGTGTCACACAATCTGGGCCTGGTGCTTTTTTCCTTTTCTGCTTCCGGAAGACCTGGAGCACCTCGTCTTCACTGATTTGAAGTGCAGATGTGGGGGAGAGGGGGGTTGCAGGAGGTGTTAATGGTGTTTTTTTCAAACCTGCAGTAGAACTCTTTCAGATCGTCTGCCAGTTGTTGATTCTCCACAGTGCTGGGGGATGGTGTCTTGTAGTTGGTGATCTCTTTCAGACCTTTCCACACTGATGCTGAGTTGCTGGAAGTGAACTGAGTCCTTAGTTTTTCATAATAATTCCTCTTTGCCACTCGGATCTCCTTTGAATATTAGTCATTCAAAATAAGTAGGTGTTAATGTGAACAAAAAGTAGTTATTTCATGTAATTATCTCAAGATTGAGCAGTATCAATAGCCACAATGTCTCTTTTTTAAGATCCTGTTGTAACAAACTAGAGAGTTGAGATCAATAAATGCCATGTCTAACTCTTCACCAGTAATTTTATGTGGTTTATAATAGTAACCCAAGAATCCACAGTCAGATAGCAGAGCCAAAGCCACCTTTTATTCAACGAGTTTTCTCTTTCCCTCTCACCCACTCTGAAAGAATGAATGGAAACAATCAGCTTGAAGAGCAGTGGCTGGATAATGGCAACAGACCAGTAACAGAAAACCCTTTACAGTATAAACACAGGGACACTATCCAAACTTGAGCTCTGTTCAGAGCTGAGCAGGTTTTGACTGGCCTAATCTGCAGTGTAAATCTGCAGCACTGCCTGTCTAGTCTCTGTCTGGGTTCCATGCTCTCAGACAAAAGTTCCGGACACCTTGCCCACTAACAAAGGGGTCGATGCCACTCTTCGCTAATTGAAGCGGACAAGGCTTGCTGATGGGGCCTTTTTGAGCAATTGAACTTGGTGAATGCTTCTTCGGGATCTGATGAAACACGGACAGTTGGTTTGACTTCAAAAGCAGACTCCAGCAGGCCAGAGGAACTGAAGATCAAAAATGGTCTCATATCCAGGGAATAAAAGATGTAGTTGAATACTTTGGATTAAAAAGACTGCATGCCAAATGAATAAATGTAAATAAAAAACACATTCTGTCACGACTTTTTGTGAGTGAGTGAAGGGACATGTGGCCAAGTATGGTGACCCATACTCGGAATTAGTGCTCTGTATTTATCCCATCCAAAGTGCACACACACACACCGTGAACACACACACGGAGCAGTGGGCAGCCATTTTTTTGCTGCGGCGCCCGGGGAGCAGTTGGGGGTTCGGTGCCTTGCTCAAGGGCACCTCAGTCGTGGTATTGAAGGTAGAAGAGAGCGCTGTACATTCACTCCCCCTACCTACAATCCCTGCCGGTACAAGACTCGAACCCCACAACCTTTTGGGTTACAAGTCCGACTCTCTAACCAGTAGGTCACGACTTGCAGTGAGAAGCTTGCCAATAGATCTTATCAATAAAAGTACAAACCATCAACAGCAGTCTAGCCCAAATAAATGACAGAATACTTACTGTGTTTTGTTGAGAGAAGAGAAATGATTCTACTATAGCCTAGTGCATCAAATTATTAATGTCAGCCTCCTTTTGAAATCCGTTTGTGCCTGATGTATGGTGATACTGTTCAAATAGTTGCTAACCACAAAATACTATTTTTCAATTTAATGACTGGTCTTGTTTCATGTAGCCTAGTTTGTACTAATGCAGCACACGCCACCCACAAAATATATATATATATATATATATATATATATATATATATTTTAAATTAGAAGAAAAGATGATTGAATAACAAAATCGAAATTCATAACAGTTTCAAAATGTTGGAGGGAAAAACGAAGTTCATCACTCAGAAGATCTTCAAATGGAGCTGGATAAACAGCAGGTGACTTTAAATATGCATAAGATTGTTGAGGATGTGCTTTTATTACATGTGGCAAAAGTATTAAAAAAAATAAATATTTGTATAAAAGTAAATATTTGTCAATATATGAACTGAGTTGGTATATTATGTAAAAAGACATTTAAACATACAAAAATGAGACAATTTGTTGAATGTACAATGTAAGAAATTGTTTTTGTTTAATGCTGTAAATAAAACAAAGATTACTGGAGTATGTTTTACAAGAAAATACTGTTTTAGTCTTCAGTCAGTAATTAACTCAGTCAGTAATTAATTACTAGCAATTTCTGAGTGAAAATTGTTATCCTACACCATTAATGTAAATTCTACGCCATTTTTTCCCCTGTGCATGTATGTGTAAATAATTTAAATGCAAGTATAAATGAAATTTTATATACAAAAAAAAGTTAAATTTGATTTTAACCAATCAAAGGTGTACCAATCAAAGTTTTTTGGTTAATTTTAGAACTTAATAAGGAAACTTGAGGAGCAGATGGAGGAGGAGAAACAGGCTTTTGAGAAGGCTCAGGAGGAGGAGAGAAGGAGAACCCAGAAACGTCATTGCATTGCAGCAACAAAGATTCAAGCTGCTCTAAGAGGAACATTAGTGCGCCGCTGGAGCAAAACAGAGCTTAGGAGAAAGAAAGAAGAAGAGAGGAGACATGAGGAGGAGAAGAGGGAATGGGAGAAGATGAAGAAGGAGAGAGAAGAGGAGAGAGAGAGGATCGAGGAAGAAGAGTGCGCTCAGAGGGAGGAGATGGAGAGACGCAGAGCAGATTATGAAAGAGCTAAAGAACAAGAGCGCTACCGTCTGGAGATGGAGCAAAGACTTGAACAGCAGAAGAGGAAAGAGGAGGAAGATGAGAAAAAGAAGAAATTGCAGAAGAAGGAAAAGCAGAGCAACATTACAAGTGTAAAAGATGATTGCAGAAGACAGGAGGAGGATGTAGACAAGAAGAATAAAGAAAGGGAAAGAAAGAAAGTGGAAAGGAGTAGTCAGGTGAAGGATGAATGTAAAAGAGAGGAGGAAAGAGGGGAAAATGAGAACCTAGACAATGAGGTAAATGTGAGAAAAATAGAAGCTAATAATGAAAGAGTAAGGCACGGGAAGAAAATGGAAAACACATTGGAGGACGACAGGAATACGATGAAAAAACAGGACAAAACTAAAAGCATAAATACAGAAGACACAGAAAGTTTAGATGATACAGGACCACAAACAAAAAGTGATGAAGACAGAATAAAGAGCCATAAAGAAGAAAAAACATTTGAAATCAGTGGAGAGCTTGACTCTCAGGTAAATCGCTCACAGTCAAGAAAAAGCCTTAAAGTTACCAAAACCACTACAGAGTCCCACGTAAATGTACATCAAGGTCTCTCCAGTGACCTTGGTATTAGTCCAGTGGGTTCCTCAAGTGTTGCAGATCATCTAAGTGTTAAAGCAGTTGTTAAATCAGACTTGGCTGTACAAGTTTCTGATTTGGCTGTTGTAGCACCTGAGATGGACAC